GAAAGGAAAAATAATTGAGAAATAGTTTGACCAGAGGCCAATTACAAGGAATTCTTAAGTATTTGAAAGCAACTAACTTGAACACGCTTCTTCACAAGTGAGTACATACGGTTATTCAGATACACCGGCTTCTCACCCTCGCACTTGGACCACCGGGGGAAGGGCAGTTGCTGGGCCCCCTCAGCTCTTTCTGCTCACCAACTTCCACATCCCATCTCTTTTCTGCTTCATAGACTTCACCTTGATTCAGATACTGACCCTCCTTTCACAAGATTATGGGAAGACGACCACTGGGCTGTCCCAGGCCAGAGTCACAGCAGTTGCTCTTCCTAAGGCAGTGGAGGTTAGGGATGGGCAGGCCCAGGTCAGCCACATGGTGCACAGAGATAGCCACCGAGACACGGACTGGGGACGTGCTGTGCTCTGGGCTTTGTTTTGAGATGGGAGGTGGTCAGGCACTCAGTGAAGGCTGAGGCAGGGCTTCCTGTGGCATGTGGCTACAGTCAGTCCTTCCAGCTTTGGGGGTCTTGTCACAATGCACCCCCCTAGTCCTGAGCGCTCCTAGGGTCACACCATGTGTGGCACACGTCCTTTCCAGGAAGAGTTCTCACAGCAGTATCATTTTCCCACAGTGCTACCTCACTCTCTGCCTGCCACAGTCCAGCGCCTGGTGAGGCAGCAAGCAAGCGAGTGGGAGAAGCCCTTTTGTCATCCCACACACGCCACCTCCAGTACTCAGCAGGGCACGGCAATCGGAGTTCCAAGAAGTCCTGCAGACGCCAGCAGCAGGGCCAATGCCTCTCCCTTCCACACATAGGGGACAGCCCCAGAGCAGAAGTCACAGCAGCCAGCCCCTTCCCCTTACAGAACCAGGGGGATCATGAGTTCAGTAAATAAGTGAGTGTCCCCAAATCCCAAAGACCAAATGAGGAGCAGTTCACATTTCAGAGCTTCTGAATAAACACCTGAATACCAGAGGGAACAGTCTGACTCAGAAGGGAAAAGCAAAGTAAGAAAATCTTCAATTCTCCTCATACCAAAGAAACACCCAGGTGTGGAGAATCCTCTGACAGGGCAGCTCTGAAGGGGGAGCTGCCGGGTGGCTGCAGGCAGAAAACGGCAAGGCCGGGGTTTAGACTGAGGCATGGACAGCACGATGGGGAGGAGGCTCGTGTGGGAGCCTGAGGAGGGAGGCCGATCTCTAAACCAACCTAAGCAATATTTATTCATGGATTTTTTAAGTTGTGGGGAAATTTAAACATGCGAAAAGTAGAAAGAATAGCCTAATTTGAAGCAAGTCCCAGGCATCACATAACTTGGTCAGGAACAGTGCAGGCGCTCCAAGGCTTTCCCCCGAGACTGGCATCGAGTCAGCAGTGGGCACACTGGGCAGGCTGAGCTGGGCAGGAGGGCTGCCCCAGACCACCTGCCTGGAAAAGCCGTCTGCGGTGTGTGCCTCCTCTCTGGCCGAGAGGCTGCCTTCTTCTGCGGCCACAGGAGAAGCTGTCTCCCGGCCTGCCTGTCTCTCCTGGACCAACGGCCAGGCCTGCCTCAGGTCCCCAGTCTGCCCAGGCTGGCGGGCCTTGGTGTGGCGTGTGCAGCCTGCACGCCCTGCCCTCGCCTGCCCTGCAGAGAGAGTGCTGCTCTGGGCAGGCTGTGCAGCACTCCGCAAGGACTGGGAAGCAGCTCCTGCCTCATGCTCAGATCCACCCGGACACAAGCAGGCCAGGGTGCTCTGTGGGCAGCTGAAACGGTGAACCCCCTCAGGGTGAACTGGTTCTGCGTGGGCACGGACGTGCAGAGCATTTCTAGCTTTCGCCACAGACGGAGCCGTCCTGTTCTTGGCAGGCCGCCCCCAGCCCTGACTAAGCACTGCAGAGGCCGGCCTCCTGCGGCCAGGGTCACATGCGGCTGCTCCTGAGGGTCTAGGAAACAGGAGAACCTTCTTAGGCAGCTTGGTGGTCTCAGGGAGAGCCTCATCAGCCTCTTCCCACTCAGGGGGCACAGCCGAAGAAACTCACCATTTGCCATGAGAACCCGGATTTCTGGAGCCCTCTGCTGCATCCCCCTCATTGTAAGCTCTAGACTGTATCTTCCCAGTAGAGGGCGCTGGAGGGACATGGCAGGGGCCAGACAGGGTGGGGACAGTCACACCTCGTACCTGGCCATGACCCTTCCCAGCTCCCACCCAGCCCCTCCAGGTCTGTTGCTCCTGAAGAGCTCCCTCTCTGGCTTACCCAGGAGGGGACCAGAGTCTCCCTATCTCAGTCACTCATCAGAGTTAATGATTCTTTACACTGGTCTCCTGGTGCGGCTTCTCCCTCCTCCTGACTCAGCGGGAGGCACAGCCTTGGGGGGCTGGGGGGCGGGTAGATCCTGGCACCTCTCAGGAAAACGCTTCACTCCATCCCACCCGGTTTCTGCGCAACAAATGCTCCGGTAGTTAGTGTGGAGTTAGTGCTTGGCTCAGGTTTCCTGCTCACCAGGAAAGGGAGGTAGGAAGACAGGGAACCTGTGTGTAAGTAAACCGGCCTGCAGAGCCAGCCATGGCCCAGGTGACCTGCCTCCTGCTACTGTGCAGGGTGCACAAGGATTCCCTAGTTTAAGAGGCTCCTGATACAAGTGATGTTCGACACTGCCACCAGCAGAATCATCTTACTGGAAACTCTAGTCTGTTACATCAACAAAGCAAGTGTAAAAGAAAGTTACTAAGGAAAACTGGCCCCAAAAGGATAACAAGCGGAATAAGATGGCAAATATTATATTTCATATATATTTAGATTTTTAACATAATCCTTGCCTGGAAAAGCTGATTTTCAAAATATTCTTCACTTTTTTCCTACCTCACAGTCATTCCCTCCCTGCCCTCATGGAGAAGAAACGTGGGTACTCCCTGCACACCCCGAGGATCTCCTAGACAGCCCAGGGAGCCCCCTTGGACTCCATGAACCCACCTAGCCACCCTTCCCCAAGATGCCACTCATCAACAGATAATCTGTAAGATTTCTGGAAGCACAGGCCCAAGAAGCCACCATCACGATCAAACGGTCACTGCAAAGAAATCCTACCAACCAGAACTGGGTGGGCAGCCTGAGGACATCCGCCCACCTGGGCATGCTCAGTAGACACACAGCCCTGCCGGCCCTGCTCAAGAAGCACGTCCTCCTGGGAAGCAAAAGCTCCTACTCCTACAGCAAGGCTCCTAGGGATTTACCAGAACATCCCAGAGTTCTGACGTCAACCTCCAGACCCCAGCATCCAGATAACTAAGAAAACCAAATAGCAGTACTGCACGCTCTACAACCGAACCTGGCACGGACTCCAGGACAGGAGAGAGCGCGTCCAGGCCTGGCCTCATTTCACCTGGACCTGACGCCCGAGCCACAGAGTCCCTGCGAGCCCCCCCGTTCTGGTGGGAGCCCTGTGTCCCTAGGCACCTAGCCCCTCCCTCCTCTACCCCACGGCTCTCCTGTAGACTATTCGTCCTTCACCTTGCCCACTCACTCCTTCCTGTCCCTCAGCAAAAGAGCCATGGGCCTGGCCAAATCTTCATGAAGGACCCCACGGAGCCCTGCCACCTTCCTTGCATCTCAGCCAGCAAAACCAAATCTACTTCACTGGCTTTTAACTAACCAAAGTCTCAGTTCAGCGACTGTGAACCCCATGGGGACAGACGCTTGGGGAGCACCCTGCATAGGAGGGTGTGTGGGCAGAACTGTGACCTCGTGAATAAAGTCTATAGCACAGACACTCATTCCCAGACTGTGCCTTCCGCCACTTCTCCCAATTTTCTCACGTTTGTTTTGTTTCAGCACCTGCTACTTCACTGCTGCCTGACAAACTCTCACAGGAGGAAGCCCCCCACGCCCCATCCTGGCAGGGCCCTGCCCCTTGTCCTATGGCTACATTCTGGGGAAGCCAGGCCCACCTTGTGGTTCTGTGGGTTCACCTCAGGCTCTGTGGCCTCTGGGTCTCTGCGTCCCTTCCCACCTCCACCTGTGACTGGTCTTCAAGTCTGCAGAGCAGTCAGATAACCAGCAAGCTGGGAAGGCCACTGAGCACCAAGACCAAGAGGAAGAGAGTGCAGGCCAGCAGGAGGGAGGCTGGGTTCTCGCCTGGACCCAGCACGTCCCCACGAGCAGCTCAAGGTGAGCTCAAGCAGCTCAACTTGAAAGTACACAGATCAAGTATTATTAACTCCTCAGATACACACAGACACGCACACATACAGACACACTCGCAAAGTACACGTACACACACACACACAGATGTACACATGCTCACATGCAGAGACAAAGGCTCACACCTGCCCACATACATGCACAGTGCACATGCATGCTCACTCACACACTCACACTCTCCTGCTCTGCACCCCCAGGCCCACCTGCACCTGCATGAAGACTGCACTGGCTCCTGCTCACTTTCAGGGCTCCCTTCAGCTTTTAATTCAAACAACTGGGTTTAATTTATGTGCTTTTGTAGCCCTGAGGGGAAACATGTTTATCCTCCACCGTAAAACCTTCAGGAGGGCCTGGGGGCCTCACAGGAGAGGAGCCATGTCACGTCCATGGCTAGACACACACTGGGAGGATCCCTGGGCATGCTGGGGGTGCGTTTCTACTTTGGGTACTTGTGGGAATTCTCTGTGTATAAACCTTCCCTAGCAGTTCCGAGTTACCCTGAACGTTAAGAGAGAGGAGAAGGCACTGCGAGGCCTCACTCTGGACCCCAACTCAGCTCTGCTGCAGGACTCCTCAGATGGGTCCCAGAGCAAAGCCAAGAGATGCAAAGAGGCTGGGAGATACCTGTCCTGAGTGCACAGCCCAGGCCGGGCCGGTGTGAGGAGACCCCCAAGGCGTGGGGATCAAGGACACTTCCTATGGAAGAGAAGAGTCTGGCAGGTGTGATGTGGGAATGGGCCGGGTGCGGATGACCTGGAGGCAGTCAGGAGGGAGCAAGGAGATGGGGGACACAGTGAGGGGGCAGGGGTGGGGTGGTACCTGTGTCCGAGTCCTTCTGCTCTCCATTGGCCCCCACAGTGAAGGGCAGTTTCCGTTTGGTCGCTCTTTCTCTCACCTCCTTCCCTCCATCACTACGGTCCAGCTTTGGGGTCTTGGTTAGAGAAACTTTATCTTTATCCTAGAAAAGAAAGTGACACTTTCAGACATCATTCCCAAGTTAAATTCTCAAAAACCTCACGTCATTTCATGTGCCAGGAAAAGCAAATCTCTTATTTGGGAAATGAACAGCTCCTCCTGCTGCCAATCTTAGAAGTGACACGTGGCTTCCTCCATCTTTCTCCGTAAGCCAGACAGCTGTGCTCGCCAGTGAGGCACCTCACAGACCAGAGCTGCAGCCGAGCCCTGACCATGACCCCACACAGCCCTACTCCTTGTCCAGAACCTGGAGAAGTCTCAAGAAACTGCTGCTAACGACTATACTTATGCATATGAAGAAAGCAGAGCAGACACAGTTGCCTCTGACCCCGTTTTCCCAGGGACAGATTAGATAACGCAATACAAGAGCTGCCTTAAAAAGGGGTGTCAACAGGTGGAGTCCCATTTTCCATTATAAACTCTCCCTGTGGAATGAAGGTGCCTGACTGCCCCGCCTGCCTGGGCCTCCCACCGTGCAGGAGTGTGTCCACATGTCGCAGGAGTATGTCCAGCTCCTGAGATGGTGTGCTCCCCCCTTGCCGTGAACAGGGCGGGCTCTCCTCCTTCCCGATCTGACATCCCTGCACAGCGCCCAGTGCTCCTGCTGCCACTGGCCTCCCCGCAGGCCTGTGTGGGGCTGTCTTCAGGACAGATTCTTCAGGCCAAGCCCTGGTCCCAGAGCAGAGCCCACAGCTGCAAACCCACATGGAGGCACCCACCTCCAAAGCCAGAGCTGTCTAGAGAGTGGGTGGCTGTGTCGCCAACACCCTCTTCCCTGCTCTAATCTCAGGCCTGGTCCTCCTACAGCATAAGAAGCCAGGAGCCTGAATTCTAGCCCCATCCTGACCAGCCGGCCAACCTTGGGCAAGCCTAGCACTATGTCTGCCTCAGTGTTATCATCTGTAGAATGGGAGACAGTGCCCACCTCAAGGGTCTGAGTGGAGGCTCTATAGATGACGGGCACGACATACACGCAGCCGCTCATCACACAGTGCTGTGCCACATGAGGTGAGGAGGTCCCGGGAGGAAATAGCAGCGCACAAAGCCCTGGGAGGCAAGGGTGGGACAGCCTCATCCGAAAATGCAGGTGGTGGTGGGGGCCGATGGTGGAACAAGCTGTGTAGAGTGAGAGCCCCTACTTCACTGGCTGCAGCAGCAGGTGCCCTGGACCCCAAGCCCTCCAGTTGATGGCGTCATCCCAGGTGCAGGCTGCTCTGAGGAGTCTTCCAAATTCTAGCCAACACCTTGACTGTTTGCTACCAGCACACAATGACCCAGGCAGGAGAGGCATTACAACTCCCAGCCACCTGCCCTGTCCACGGAGAGCACGTGCATCAAGCCCTACGCAGGCAGCACACACATAGCCCACCATGCAGTCAGCATACCTGGTGTGCAGAAGAAAGAACTGCTACAAGTACATGACTTCCTATCCCCCTAGCAAGCTTTCTTTCTAGAATTTTCTTCAGGGAAGCAGTTGGCAAGCACATGCAGTCACAGCCACACCCCCACGCCACTCTCACAGCACTAGGAGCTTTCAGGGTGCTCCTGGGAGGAGCCGCCTGCCAGCACTGAGCACCTGTGGCAGTCCTGCCTTCTGTGGCCCCAACATTCCTCCAGCTTGACCACTCAGCCATGGCAACCACAAACCTTGGCAGTTAATGAGAGACACCCTCAAGTGACAAGAGAGACCTCTGCCAGAACACACTGCCAGCTCTGAGGGCATCTGGAGTGCAAAGAGGGGCCACCGGGCAAAGCCTGAGCCATAGCAACGCCACTGGAACGAGGAAGAACTCCTGGAGCCGGGCAGATGCTGGGCATGCCATCTCACCCCACAGTCTCCGTGAGGCACACCTGTCATTACCCATATCCCGCCACCCCCAGCACCGGGAGAAGGACGGCACCCATTAGAAAATCCCAGAACCGTAATAAACACCTTCCCGAGAAGAAAACTCCTGGCCCAGCTGGTAAATCTGATCTATGGATATACAAAAGAGATAATACAAATAATAACAATAACAAAGTATTCAGGAATGCAGGAAATTTAAAAATCAATATAATTCACTACATTAAGAAAATAAAGGACAGGCCGGTCCAGTGGTGTAGTGATTGCTTAAGTTCACGCACTCTCCTTCAGTGGCCTGGGGTTTGTGGGGTCGGATCCTGAGCACAGACCTACACACTGCTCATCAAGCCATGCTGGGGTGGCATCCCACATGCAAAATAGAGGAAGACTGGCACAGATGTTAGCTCAGGGACAATCTTCCTCACCAAAAAAAAAGAGAAAGGAAAGAAATCATACGATCATCTCAGTAGATGCAGAAAAGGCCTGACAAAAGGCACCCTGGACCCAAAAGCCGAGCCCAGGCTCAAGCGCAGATGACGGGGTGCTCCCGTGAGAGGGGTCAAGGCAAGGACACCAAGCATCACCAAGTCTACTAGAAAACAAAACAACCCATTGTTTTTAAATGAACCAAGATCTGAATATGCACTTTGCAGAAGAAAACGTCCACGTAGCCAGTTAACATCCAGAGAGGTGTTCCACTTCAGGAAAATGCACTTTGAAAGCACAAGGAGATATCAACACTCCCACCAGAATGGCTCAAACAGAAAAGGCCAACAGTATCAAATGCGGCTAAGGGCGTGGCAGAGCAACCAGACCTCCAAGGTCTGCTGGTGGGAGTGGCACAACATGACCCCCTGGAGTTCCCACAAGAAAGAAGTGAGTGCAGATGCTCACAGCAGTTTTGTTCACAATAGTAAAAAGATGAAACACCACTGCCCATCAAAGGGCCAGTGGTAAACCTATCCCAGAGCAGTCACAAATGAACTACTCCACAACAGTGAACAGACAGGGCCCAGGTGACAACATGGTGGCACTCCAGGAGCACCTCAGGGAGAATAGCACTGGGCTCAGTGAACACGTCGGGACATAGTGGACACAAAATAAGGTCTCCTCTGCAATCACATTGGGCTCAATCCCTATTTTCCTTTTTTTTCTTCCTAAGAGATAAGAAGTCTTAATCTTCAGGCAATACAATTGTATACCTGAAAAATCCAAACAGACAACTGAACTATTCAAATCAGTAAGTGAACTAGAGAAAAACAGTGGATACAGAAAGTAATTGATTTCTATATACAATAAACAATTAGGAAATATTAAAATCACTTACATTAATATCAAGACATCATATATATAGGAATAAATCTAACAAAAGACATTCAAGCCCTCCATACAGACAATTACAAAACAATACTGAGAGAAAATAAAGAAGGCTTACAAAAATGGAGGGTTACTCACGTTCATGGGTCAGAAAAGTAAATATTGTTATTATGGCAATTCTCCCCAAACTGATCTTTACCATTCAAAACAATCCAATCAAAATCCCAGCAGGCTTTCTGTGGAAGTCAACAAGCTTATTAGAAAATGTACATGGAAATGCAAAGGGTCAAAAATAGCACAGACAATCCTGAAGGACACAAAGCTCAGGAAATTAAACTACCAGGAACCAAGACATAAAATGAGTGTCACAACATGTGGTCCTGGACAAGGACCAAAGACTCAGGACAAAGAGCAGGAGCTGGCTGGAAGCCCCCGACTGGCGACAAAGGCTCTCTGCAACACAGAGGAGAGGGGTCTTTCCAGCAAGCAACAGTGACCATGTTGATATCCAGAGGGAAGAAAAGGAACCTTGACCCCTACCTTACACCACAAAACAAAACCAACTCCGGATGCATCACAGACTGAAAGCTGTTAGAAGACAGCGCAGGAGAACATCTTCACGACCAGCAGACAAAACCATGAAGTGCCACTCCACACCCACCAAAGTGACTTAAACTGATACCACCAAGTGTCAGCAAGGACATGGGTCAACCCAAACTCTCACAGCTGTGGGGAGTGCAGGGCGGGAAAAACCACCCTGACAAACTATGAAGCCAGATGGAGGACTGTGGAAAAACCCAGTGTCCGTATGTCCATGTCATGTCTCAAACTGAGAACCCAAATGTCCCATGGCAGAAGGTGACTGTTCACACAATGGAACACCACACAGCAGGAGAGAAGCACCGACAGGACAGAACCTCGAACATCAGATGCAGCTGAACAACTGATCCCCTCACGGAAAACCCAACAGTGAAAATGTGCCTACGCTGACAGAGGTCAGAACAGAGGTCACTCTGGTCAGGAGTGGTCACTGCAGACTGCACAGGAGGGCCCCATGGATGCCGGTAATACTGTGTTTTTGATCTGGATGGTGATTAACCCAGGTTTTAAAACTGAAATACAAAACATGATGTGCTGTGTGGACACCTCACTAAAGAAGTTCACAGAAGCCTTCAAGCCTCAGGTCCTCACCTCACTAGTGGCACCTGCAGTGCCCCTGGAGCACCTCGGGGCTCCAGCTGAGCTGACGCCAGGGGTGGCAGGGGCTCCGATGAGGTTCTCAGGGCAAACCTGGTTCAGAACCTGGCTGGGCAGCAGGGCTTGGGGCAGTGAGTTCATTCAACCGCACTGAACGTTCCTTACTAGTAAGACAGGGCTCCTAAGACCAACTGAACACGTTACAAAATGTTTTCATTTCCTAAATGCTAAAAGAACCCCTGAAACATTAAATTCAACTTTTATCAGCTGCCTCCGTGTCAAACCCCAATATGCCATAAAAACTGCCAGGGGGGTAGCAGCTATGGCGCAGGGACAGGCAGTGACCCTATCAGCCCATGTTACCTCACGTATCCTCACAATATGCTTGAGGAGGGGGCTCCCCACACATCATGGGCAGAGAGGGGAAACTGACTTTTAATCCCATACCATGCCAGGCTGTCCACAGGGAGCAACTGTCTGGAAGATGGTCACGGTCCACCTGACACACTCACCTGGAACCTTCACCATGATTAACTAACTCTTACCTGTAAATGACCAACAGGGAAAGAGCCCGACAGGAACTGAAATTCTATCAGCCACTATAAACAGCATAGGTACGTCAATCC